CAACATTCGGGCAGTGTGTGACGGTTTCATTGGCCGCTTGAAGCCCATAATTCGTACCAAAGGTGACCAATTCGAACAAATCTAAACTTATTTTAAAATTTGTTGCTATTTCCGACATTTTTTGCTTTCATTCAATAAAATTTAAAAAAAAAAATAAAAATTATGTCGTTTGACTTTTATTGTGAACCAAATTGTTAATATCAGCTCAAATGGAATGAATTTTGGCACTTCCGACGTAATTCAGCCCAGTTTCAGTTTTTGGTGATCGGTTTAGATATAGCTATAGTTCCCACAAATATGCACTTCACAACAATGATATTTGATATCAGATATCCGATACATCTCAGATAAGTTCCTAAAATGTTGTCAAAAAGAAATTTTGACAAGATCGGTTCAGATTTGGATATAGCTCCCATATATACATCTTTATCGGATTTCAGGTTTATTGTGCACCAAACTGGCAATATCAGCTCAAATGGACTGCATTTTAGCACTTCCAATGGAATTCAGACCAGAAGCAAGCACTTCATTTTTTGGTGAAAATCGGTTTAGATATAGCTATAGCTTCCATAGATATGTTTCATATGTGTTAGAACGCTCACACGCGTAATATGCACTCCACAACAAGGATATTTGATACCGGATATCAGATACAGCCAAAAAAATACCCCTGGTAAATTTTTTTTTATCGGAGATTTTTATATACCTTCGATATGCATCTTCACTTGATTTTACGGTTATTGTCCGTCCACCCTGTATGTAAATTCAACCCAAATTGAATAGATTTTTTCAAATTCAACTGAAGTTTTCCATTTTAGGAAACTCGGTCCGGTATATCTATTGCTCCAATAAATATTTTTTTGTATAATTCTTATCGAAGTCATATCATGCCCTATACAGCAATGTTATTCGGTACTAGAGGTACAAAAGCCTCCGTCAAATTTATTGAAAATCGTTTCAGAGTTGGATATAGTTCCCAAATTGTGATTACTCTAAAGTCGTGATACGCATTTAAACAAACTTCATAGTTGGTATGATCTACCTCTACCAAAAATGCCCAATATAAACTTTTTTTGTTACAGGAGCTCTACTAAATACGCGTAGTGTCGGCCCCGCCCGACTTTTGGCCTTTCCTTACTGTTTTTTGTTTCTTCACTTGCCGACGTCAAGTTTCGAAATCACAACCTTCTGTTTTGTAGACGTAGGCGCACACTCTGTGGCGACGTTACTCATTACATGGTAATAAAGAAAGTAAGTTATCTTCTTAAAAGGTAGTTTTTTTGCATTACCATTATAATGGGTTATTCGGCTCATACATCTTCCAAGTTTTTGCTGGGAAATCTCATTCGGTTTTACAACAACACAAATCAAACGAATGATGGCTGATGGTGGTGTTTGGTTGCATTCGCATAGACATGCAGTCTGCCATCATGATAACGACAACAGCAACAACAACAAAAATAAAACAGTGTTTGCTGTACCTGTTTTTCACACGACAACAAAAATGCATACTCAGAATGTTGCAGTTGACTGGTGGGAGGATGAGTGAATGGGTGTTTATGATGATGGCTGGCTGCTTACTTGCATTCTCTCCGACTGCATCAGTCAATTTATTTAAAAGCAAAAGCAATTGTGCTTTTCTTAAAGTGAGACATTTTAAGCAAAGTAATGACTTTAAAGGAATCATTAAATTGACAAGACCATAAGTAGGCATCCTCCTTTCCATGGTATAATATGTGAATAATAGTAATAATGGACTTAGATCCCACAAACGTTTGCACGAAATCTGTCTCCGAACAATTGTTTTTGATGATTTTCACCCAAAGTTCAAAGTTCAGTATCAGTTTATGACTGTACATTATACTCAAATTTTTACCATTTTAAGGGAAGAAGTAAGGGTTGGAATTTGACTAGGTGTTCAATTTTTTAAGAATATTTTGCAAAGACTTCCTGGCCAACATTTGTCAAGATTAAAAAAAATCAGTAATATTTTAAGATTTTTTTGTGAACTCCAGACCAAAAAATCTTGAAAAAAAAAATTCAAAGACAAAATCTTTTGGATTAAAAAAGAAAAACATTTTATTTCCTGACCGAAAATCGTTGATTTGTTTTTAAAATTTTAAATCGCCTATTTTCGGTGGGGTTTTTAATTTTTAATCTAAATTTTTCAGTCATCAGGACTTTGAGAATTTTGACTTAAAAATCCAAAATTTGCAATCGGAAGAACCGATTAAATTTTTACGTTTTTTTATTTTAAAATTCTTAAATTTTTAAGAATTTTTTTACAAAATTCTTCTGATTGCAAATCTTGGATTTTTAAGGTAAAATTCTAAAAGACCTGATGACTGAAAAAAATAGAAAAAAATCGTCAAATTTTTAAAAACATTTTTAAAGGACCTTTAACCGAAAACCGTAGATCGGAAATCTTGGGGTTTCAAAAAAAATTTTAAAGACCACAAATAATGATTTTTTTTAGGAAATTTTGAAAAGGGTTTTCTGGCCAAATATCCAATAACTCTTTGTCAAGGAATATGATTAACGTAAATTTTTGAAGAACGCTCTTTCAAGGAGCTCCTTATCGTCAACTGGTGATTTTTATAACAACATTTTCCCATATCTCCTAACCCTATATCTTGGATTTTTTAAGAACTATTTTTAAGGACCTCAAATATGACTTCAAGAACTGTTGATTTACAAGAATATTATGGGGAATTTTTTATTTTAAGGAATTTCTTAGAAAAAAAATTTCAAATATTTTAGGAATTGTCTTTAAAAAAATAAGGTATGTTTAGGGTTTGCAGGCATAGAATAACCATAGTAATTAAGAACAATTTTCAAGGACCCCAATATATTTTCAAGAACTGTTTTGTTTAAGAATACTAAATTTTTTAAGACAAAGCTTTCAAATATTTAAAAAATTATCTTAAAAAGAAATAACGGTTTTTCAAGGACTTTGTGAAAAAAATTAATTTTTCAGGTTTCCAGGCCTGATTTTTTATGGACAATTTGGTCAAGAAGGTCCGTCAAGGCCGAAAATTTGTGATTTTTTAAGAAAACATTTCAAGGGATTTGAGAAAAAATTTCGATGACTTCCTTACCTAAGACGTTGGATTTTTTGAAAACAATTTTAAAGGACATACTGAAACTCGTGGTCATTTTAAAAAATATTTTCAAGAACCGTGAATTTTTAGGCTTTTTTTGTAGGACCTCCAGACCGAAAATCTTGAATGTTTAAAACAAAATTTCAAGAGGGCTTCTGACTAGATATTTTGAATTTTTAAAAATAAAAGAAATAATTTTTCAAATATTTTGGTTCCAAAACCAGCAAGAACCTACTATTTTTGCAATTTTTTAGATGTCATAAAGGCAAAATTGGTTATCATTACATTCTTGCAGTTCTGGAATAAACCAAATGTTTTTAAAAAAAATAATGGATTTTTTCAAGGACTTTGAGATAAAAAATAATTGATTTTTTTAAGGTTTTCAGGCCTAGAATAATGGTCGAATATCCACTATAATTTGAATTTTTTTTATGGACAATTTGGTCAAGGAGATCTGTCAAGCCCGAAAATTTGTAATATTTTAAGAAAGTATTTCATGGGATTTAAGAAAAAAAATCGATGACTTTCTTGCCTAAGACGTTGGATTTTTTTGTAAAACAATTTTAAAGGAAATCCTGACCGAAACTCGTGAAAATTTTAACAATTACTTTCAAGAACCGCGGATTTTTAGGCTTTCCAAAACTTGCAAGAATCTACGATTTTTGAAATTTTTTTCTATATCATAAAGGGAAAATTGGTTATCGCAGTAAAAAGTTGTACATTCTTGCAGTTCAGGAACAGACCAAATGTCTTTAAAAAAAAATAATGGATTTTTTAAGGACTTTGATATAAAACAATCATTGAATTTTTTAGGTTTTCAATAGTGGAATATCCATAATAATGTGAATTTTTTATTGATAATATGGTCAAGGAGGCCCGTTAAGACTGGCAAAGCCGAAAATTTGTGATTTTTCAACAAAACATTTCAATAGAAAAAAAATTCGATGACTTCCTAACCTAAGACGTTGGATTTTTTGAAAACAATTTTAAATGACATCCTGACGGCAACTCGGGGACATTTTAGAAAATATTTTCAAGAACAGTGGAATTTTAGGATTTTTTTCTAGGGCCTTCGACCAAATATCTTGAATTTTTAAAAAGGAAAAAAATTAAAAACCGAAATTCATTGATTTTTAAAGGGCTGCTTTTTAAGGACTTCCTTTCCGAAAATCTTGTATTTTTAAGGCAACATTTTCAAAGAGCTAATTACTGAGGATATTGAATTTAAACAAGAAATAGTCATCTTTTTAATTTATTTTTTCGAAATTTTTAAAAATCGTAATTTTTTGGCCAAATGTAATGGAGTTTTTTTTAGTAAAATGTCATAGAATTTGGACGAATAATTTTTCACTGCATCAAATACCTCCCCCCACAAAGGGTCAAAATTTTGAATAATTACAACTCTTATAAAATGTGATGTGAGAGTCTGATTGTCTTCAAATTAACACATCACGATATTTTTAGTAATCCAAGGTCTGGTGTGAAGGTGGAATATATCTGTCCACTTCTTCTGGTACCTCCCCCACAAAGGATAAATAACCATAAAGCACATAAAAAAATCAAAATTCTTGCTAGGAATTAGTCATTTATCTCTTACAATTTCATTCATATATTCATGTATTGATGTAGACTATTACAAATACTCTGCCAGCCAGAATCATGTTTGCAATTGTTATAATTTACTTTTTTATTGTTAATTGTTAGAATTTATTATCTTCCGGAACGATATTTACACATGAATTAAAACATGTTTACACATTTATATAGTTTTACGTCGACACATAAAAACACATACACACACATAGAACAAACTAAATGAGAATTAATATCCAATAATTAATTTATTCAAAAAAAATAGAGATAATAACAAATAATTAAATAATTATTTGTTTTACTTACCAGTATTTAACTTTAAATCCAAAGTTTTTTTGTGGGTGGGTTGGATTATTTGGTTTGTTGTTAGGTTTTTTTTTTTTTTTTCTTGAAAATTGGAAAAACGTTTTCCAACGCGGTACTATTTCCGTTGAACCATCAGCGTGTACTGCGTTTCACTGAAAATAAAATGATAATAATTTTTGGTCAAATCTTAAATAATGTCTCGTGTAGAACGTAAATGCTGATGAAAATGTGACAGCCGCATTTAAAACAAAATTATTTAATTTCTAATTAAAAAAAAAAAACATGTTATATGTCCAAAATCAAATTGATTTATTTATTAATAATCAGTTTCGAAATCTTTGCATTGGTTTTTTTTCTCATTGATAAATTGGCAATTTATCTATTTATTTGCTACTGAATACATTTCTTATAACAGCCTATGGTCGTATACATGAGTACAATTCGGAACGTTGTTAGAACATTTTGCAAATTACACTATGCAAACAATAACAATAATTACAAGAGAAATTCAGTACATTACGTAAGTAAAAAAGCTGTAAGTTCAACCGGGCTTTGGAACTTTGAATACCCTCCACCATTTGGAACGAATTTAACAATTCTCAAAAAATTAAATCCTTAAAGAATTCTATTAAAATCTTAAAAATAAAAAATTAAAAAATAAAACGAATGTAGCCGTTATATTAGGGTCTATACCACGTCGTGGACCTGCATAGGCAACTTTTGTCATAAGCAAAAGGCGAAACTTGAAAAAAATGCGAATATAGGGAGCTAAAGGCATATGGGGACTATACGAAGATGTGGACCTGCATAGACAATTTTCAGTCTTAGGCTGTAGTATCCATTACGAACTTCAAATGCCAAATTTGAAACAATTCCGGTGAATAATGCCGCTAAAATCATCAAAGTAACGAATATCGGTATGTACAGTTGTATGGGGGCTATACGAAGAAGTGGACCTGCGCAGACAATTTTCTGTCATAGATTGTAGTACCTATTACGAACTTCAAATATTAAATTTGAAACAATTCCGGTGAATAATGACGCTAAACTCATCAAAATAACTAATATTGGGAGGTACAGTTATATGGGGGCTATACGAATATGTGGACCTGCACAGACAATCTTCTGTCATAGACTGTAGTATCCATTACCAACTTCAAATATCCAATTTAAACTAATTTCAATAATGTCGTTAAAATAATCAAAATACCGAATATCGGGAGGTACAGTTATAGGGGGGCTATACGAAGATGAGTACCTACACAGATAATTTTCTGTCATAGGCTGTAGTATCTATTACCAACTTCAAATTCCAAATTTGAACAAATTCCGTTGAATAATGTCGTTAAAATCATCAAAATACCGGATATCGGGAGGTACCGCCATGCGAGATCTATACGAAGACGTCGACCTGCACAGATAATTTTCTGTCTTAGGCTGTAATATCCATTACAAACTTCATATACTTAATTTGAAACATTTCCGGTGAATAACGTCGATTAAATCACTAAAATACCGAAAATAGGGAGGTACCATTATATGGGGGCTATACAAAAAAGTGGACCTACACGTACCATTTTCAATACCAAAAGTCCTGCAGACATAATAGACATTTGAGTTAAAGTGTATCAACCTACTTCATTTCGTTCGGAAGCTTAAGTAATTCTCACAGACGGATAGACGGACGGACATCGCTATATGGACATAAAATTTTATGCTGTTCAAGAATATATACTTTGTGGGTTCTAAAATGTATATTTCGAGGTGTTACAAACGGAATGAAAAACTTAATATTACCCTCCATACTATGGTGGAGGGTATAAAAAGTAGAGCTAGAAACAAAAAACACGTGTATCAGCGTTTCGAAAGTTTACGCAGCAATGTAATCTAACTAGAGAAGGCAAATTCCACCTTCTCCCATTATTTAATGAAAATTTTCGATTAAGATTCTTTGGAATCCGTTTATTTTAGGTATGCTATGTCTTCAGCAATATTACAGGTAACAATACAAGAAATATTTTGGTCTAAAATTTTAACCCTCACCCGGGCCACTAAAGGGTTCTTTTTCGTCCGTTTTTTTTTTTTTTCAAAATATGATTAGATTAGAACAAGATTGTAGCCAGTCAAAATATACTACAAAAGTATTAGTCATAAGATTCTACTATTTATGCCGGAAGACATCAACAGTCCAATTCGTATCTAAACGCCAGAAATTTATAAATATTAAAAACTCATTTTAGGAGTAAAGTCGTACTTTATGTGAATCTATGCAAAATGGTCGTATAAAGCAATTCTTTAGAAGGATGACGTCAAAGACAACAATTTTCATCATTGAATTTCATTTTAAGTCACCAAGGAAAATATATCTTTACAGGGTGAGATGAAAAACTGCAACCAACCTCAGACTGCTTTCATTTCTAAGCCACTCGTCCGACAGCTGCTACAATTATTCCAGTGGCAGCTCATTATATTTTTTCCTAGCGTACAAAAGCATTTTGATGAGAATTTTCCAGAAAAGAAGTTATTCGTGATGGAATTCAAGCGTGATAGTGTGATTTCTTTATATTTGGCTAGAAGACCACAAGTGGCTATCGTTAGAGCACTCCAGCATTTATGTGTGAATAAATCTTTTGTGTCTCGTACCATCGCTCGTTACCTTGGTACTGATAGAGTAGCCCGACGTCAAGGAAGTGGACGGAAGAAAACAGAAACATCAGCAGAAATGGATCGAAAAATAATAGACTTGATCGAAACCCGCGTTGCAGTGACCGCGTGGCTCGTGAGCTGAACATATCGCAATATTCTATTCGACAAATATTGAAAAATGAGCTCGGGGTAGAGCCATTGGAATTCCAAAAAGTGCAAGAACTTGCACCGCAGCAGAAAGAAAATAGACTCAAAAGAGCTAAAGAGTTGCTTCGCTTGGCCGAAAGTGGTGAACTGCCGAATTTGGTTTTCTCCGATGTGAAAACATTCGTTGTCCAGCAGTTTGTAAACAAAGAAAAATGATCTGTTTACTTGCCAAAGTGGTCAGCTGAAAATATGCACCTTCGGTTAGCCACCAGAACTCAAGCGTCGGCCATGGTGATGTTGTGGGCCGCCGAAACAACCGATGGTCGCTCTCCGCTCGAGTTAATCGACCATGGTATCAGAATAAATGACGAATATTATTGCGAAAATATTCTGGAGGGTGTACAGGGTTGCCCATATTCGTCGGACCCATCTGACAACGCCATAACTTTTGACAGAGATGTCACATCGCTTAATGAAATACCGCGTTTGAAGCGTCAGTCCAAGCAGATTTTTACCATGAACCAATACACGCCCCGCGAGCGCTCTGAAATAATTGAAATTTACCAGAAGTCAATTGTGAAAACTCAACGTGCTTTTAAAACATTAAAAAATGTGAGAAGTGCGCCTTATACGAAAAATTTTCGAAGAGGCCGTATAAAAGTCGACCAAGGCGATCGGCCGAGAATATCGCTGCCGTACGAGCCAGTGTTGGGAGGTCCCCATGAACATTCCAAAAACGCCGTTCTCAGCAGTTGGGCGTTGCTCGGTCCACTTTACAACGGATTATTCGCATTGATTTGCATTTGTTCCCTTACAAAATACAATTGACGCAAAGAATGTTGCCTGCGGACAAGCCTCGTCGATTGGAATGGGCTCAAAGGGCCCAAAGGTCCGTCGAATATAGGCAACCCTGTATTAAAGCCTTGGGCACGCAAACATTTTGGCAGCAGACCTTGGACATTCCAGCAGGACTCAGCACCATCGCACCTAGCACGCGCCGCCCAAGAATGGTTACAAAATGAGGTTCCTCGCTTCATTTCCAGCGCACAGTGGCCACCAAATTCTACGGATACCAATCCATTGGACTATTGTGTCTGGAGTAGTTTGGAAAGCAAGGTTGGCACTAAAAAATACCAAAGTGTCGATCACCACAAGCAAGCGCTTCGTCGGGAATGGGTCACAATACCTCAATGCAAAATTCGGGCAGGTGTGACGGTGTCATCGGCCCTTTGAAGTCCATAATTCGTGCCAAAGATGACCAATTCGAACAAATTTAAAATTATACTAAAATTTGATACTATTTCCGACATTTTTTGCTTTCATTCAATAACATTAAAAAAATGTAAAAATTATGGTGATTGAATTTGTTGTAGTTTTTTTATCTCACCCTGTATGATCGGTTCAGATTTCGATATAGCTCCCATATATCTTCGTCCGATTATAGGTTTTTCCTGCACCAAATGGCTAATATCAGCCCAAATGGACTGCATTTTGGCAATTCCGACTTAATTCATCCTTTAATCAGGTGCTCCAAATTTTGGTTAAAATCAGTTCGGATAAAGCTATAGCTCCCATATATATGTTTCAGCAATGATATTTGATACCGGACATGAGATATAGTTCTAAAATTATTGTTGCCAAATTTGATCGCGATATGTTTAGATTTTAATATAGCTTCGATATACATCTTCATCCGATTCTACGGTTATTGCTCACCATATATTTAATATCAGCCCAATTTTAATAATTTTTTTCATATTCAACCGATTTCTCAAATAAATATATTTTTTTGTAGAAAAAATTTTTTCCAGTAAGAATTTGAGATGACATATTAATTTATTCAAATTTTTTGATGTCGTCTGTGACCTAGAAGAATTTTATGACAAAATTAAGAATTAAAATTTTCTACGAACCCGTTTGAAGAGAGGGTAATAACCAATCCTTATCCGAAAATTCAGAAAATTTGAGAGATTGGGGATCTTGTCCCATATACATTTTTTATTTTAGACCATTGGTGCACAAGACAGTACGTTTGTGGTGCTTTCTCTGACATTCGTTCTCTTGCGTTCCCAGTTAAAGCCTCCATAAACGAAGAATTAGTCGCATTGTTATATTATTGAAATTAATGATTAGTTTTTACTATATTTGATTAATTTATGCTGCCTTATCATTGAAAAAAATAAGAAAATCATATCAAACTCCTTCTTTGAAATATTTAAAAAAATAAGCTATTTATCTCCTTGTGCATCAATGCTTTAGCCACGAAATTCCACTTCAAAATCAGCTGATCACGTTTAAACATTTTTATTGGGCAAATTTCCCCAATAAGAATTTGCAGACTCTCAGTAACTGAACTATCAACACCCTCCCTCTCTCTCTCAGCTGGCTCTCATTTACTAAATTTTTGAGTTACTAGGTATGTCTGGTTACTTTTCCTGCAGGAATTGTCCACCAACTTCGTTCTGAGGGAGTTAGGCAGTATTATTCTCTTTTGCAAGAAATATGTGAAAAGCAAACAAATGGGATCCCTGCAGAAGAGTTGCAAAAAGAAATCTTTCAAATCGCTCTCTTTTGCTGACCTTTTGTGTGACAAGAGAACAATTGCAATAGTAGCAATATACAACAATTGTTAAAAAAAATCGGGTAAACTGATACACCTATTAACCACCATTCGTTAACAATTTATTCAAATTATTGAGTTGCCAGACATGTCTCATGTCATTAGGATCCTATTTGGATTTTGTCGCATGAATTTGCAAGCTCTCATTGAAAGAACTGTAAAAGTTTCTCTTTCAAATGGCTCTCTTTTGCTGACCTTTTGTGTGAACAGACAACAATTGCAACAGCAGCAACTAGCAACAATTATTAAATATTAAGGTAAACAGACACACCTATAAACCACCATCCGTTAACAATTTATTCAAATTATTAGGTAGCCAGACATATCTCATATCATTAGGATCCTTTTTGGATTTTGTCGCGTATGAGCAACATATGTCATGTCATCATAAATATTATGTTACTCATACGTTGCCTCACTAATTGCACTCTTCAATGTGTCCCTGTGTTCAAAAAAAAAAAAAAAAAAAAAAAAATATATATATATATATATATATATATATATATATATATATATATATATATATATATATATATATATATATATATATATATATATATATATATATATTTAAAAATTTTATAATTTTCGAAAAGGGTCTACAATGTTTTTATATGTGTAGAAACCATAAATTTCTTTAGAGAACATATATAATACATATTCACACATTCATTACCCAAGAGCCTATTTGTCTCACATGGGTACATTTCCCCGTACTACACTACAAAAAAGTATCACTTTGAAAATCTTCACTTGACAAACTGTATATTCAGAATCGTTTTAAAATATCGTAAATATATTCTTATTACTATTAATAAATTGCATTCGCGTCTATCACTCAATCATTTGCCACCGGTTATGCACAAACACACGTTTACACGCACACACACACTCACCATTTCAAAGTACACTGACATATGGCTAACTCATTCGAAACAAATTGAATTATTTGATTTGCTGCTTTAAGTCGAACACAATTTAACTAGATTAACTGGAACTCTATCGATACTATAGATTACAAATTTTTAATCACATTAACAAAAATATATTCCAATGGGATATTGAAGCAAAAAACCGAAAATGCCAAATGGGAGCACCACACACACTTACCTTCAAATGTTTACAAATGATTTCCTGAAGATTTTCTTAGAGATTCTCCTTGAAATTGACATTGGTGCGGTCAAGATATACACGTATTCGAATGTACGAAGGTATGTATGTGGTATGCGGTATCAAAAACAATGCTAACGACACTATGTTTTGGTTTGTTTGTTGGTCTATTCTCTATTTGGGCACAAGTTAATAATGGTTTTTGTTTTTGTCGTCTGCCGTTTGCTCTTCGTTTTTAAATGCACCACAATAGGTACCCTATGTTCTCGCTTAGTTTATTACGTTTTTATTTACTTTTTTAGAATTTATTTAAAAGACATGTTAGAGGTAGCTTCCGTTGAATTTGAAGAGATTTTAATAAAAAAAAACTTTTTTTATTTTGAAATTCAGTAAAAATATTTGCACTGGAGCTGGTGGTTGTTTATGTTTTGCTTGTAAATATGACCGAATGTGACTGTTGGCCAAACGTTGGCTCTTGTACCGTGACGTTGTTTTTTTATTTTCTCTCTCGCTCTGAAAACGACGCGCGCTCTTTTGTATGCCAAGCACCAGTAGTAATGACAACAAAAATAACAGTGAGTCGTTTTGTTTATCTTTTGTTTAACTGTCAAGTAAATGCAAAAAAAAAAACAACAAATATTTTGCAAGCTCCAGCTGTTTTCGAAGGGAACTTTTTCAGTGTTGGTAAACGATAAAAAATGAAGTAGGACCGAAAAACGTAAACGAAATGAAGTAGAGTACGATTTCGCGTCTTTAGAGACCTAATTTAATACAAACATATCAGAAAATTTTAAAAAGCATGAATGAAAAGTTAAATTTGTAATAAATGAAAGGAAATATTAATTTCAGCTTAATTCGATGGGAGTTGCATAAGTTTTTCTTAAAATATTTATATAAAAAGGCAAAAACAAACAACTCAATTAAGAATGGTGTGCTAAGATCGTATTAATCCAAGACATTTCTATACCCTACACCATGCATACACTGTAACACGCTGAAGGAAGTGAGATATATCTATAGTTGCTTTTGAATATCTTCTTAAATATAACGCAATTTTGTGGTCGAGAAACGTTGACCAACTGCTGGCCAAAATAAGCCCACAACTTCCTACAATAAAAACCGCATTAAATGAGATAGTTTTAAATATATTTCAATAGAAGACTTCATGCCATCTCTAATGAGATTCATAGAATATAAAATAATTTTATGTGTTGGTTTTTTACAATTCCAGCTCAGACTTAACAATTACTCCATGGTTTTCCTAAAACATGCTAAGGTAACAATTTTTTCCATATCACCCAACAAATTCCATTCGATAGTCGTTAATTAACGAATTGTCAATAGCAATCCTTTTTGTTTTAAATTCATTATTGAATCGGCTATAACCTTAGCCGATGCTTTCAAATAGCCACCGCTTAAAAGCATTACAATTGGAATGCCACGGGCACGAAACGTACCAAAAACATACTGATCACGTTCTATGATACCCTGTAAAGATAATAAACATATGGCTATTAATAAAGTAATTTAAAATACACGATTTAACCGACCTCTGGTGTTATTGACAGACAACCTAATGGATCGCCCTCCAGAATATCCGTGCCAGCATTATAAACCACCAGGTGGGGCTTAAATTCCCTCATTGCAAATTTTAAACCTCTAAAGAAAGGACAAAAAACGATATGATAAGGGAATTAATGTACTGAGGGCTTCTATGAGTTATAGAAGACCGTTAAGTCAGAATCAGAAGACCCTTAGGTTTACCAATATCTATTGGTTATAACAGGCCTTGTGATTGGGTATATATTTACTCTACAAAATATCTTTTACATTTTGATCTGTAGAAGACCTTAGGGTCTCTAATGAAGTTTTCGACATTAGAGCCGAAAATCTGTGACTCTTATATGTAAGACCTTCAAATATCATATGACGTTTAGAAATACCCTCTCACCCACCTTTTTAATTTTATCAAATATTCCTTATTAGCTGTTTTCGGTCTCAACTCTACTGCGTAACGTATGGCCAGCTTTGCCTCATGATCCTTGGGATAAATGCAAAAATTGTACATATCAAAAATATAAACAAATGGATTATCCATAAAATCCCGTTCGTGACCATTTCCTTGATGGGCATCCAAATCGACAATCATGACATTGGACACCTGACTTTCTTCGGCAAAGATGCGTTGGATCAAAAGTGTTATATCGGCATAGGGACAAAAACCACCACCCTTATAGGAACAACAATGATGGAAACCACCACCAAGATTAATGGCCCATCCATATTCCAAGGCCAATTTGCCAGCCATAATGGAGCCGGCGGTTTGAAAACGCATTGGCCGCAAATAGCCACATTGAACCAAACAATTCGGCACAAACACTAGGACAGGTATCTCGGCAATTTGTGCCACATTGAAGCTCCATTTTAGACTACGTAAATATTTTTCCTTGTGGACCTTTAACAGCTCATCTTTGCTTATTTCGGTTGGCTCATAAAATTTACCCTGTACCAATTGATATTTTACAAGTAGCTGAAAAAATCAATGAAATAAATAAATTTGATTCTTTTTGTTATATTCATCAACGTACCTCTTGTATATTCTTTCCCTTTTGGGCATCGAATGGATGTAATTTCTCCAATTTAGCAAAATTTACTCCATAATTTTTACTATAGACAATGGGCAGTTTTGGTTTGTTTTCGCTGTTGTCTGTGGTTTCTTCCGTTTCCTTGTTTTCACCGCCAGCGGTTCTTTTAACCCAAACAATTTCCGGCTCTTCTTCCCTTTCACTGTGAACTTTTTCGGTATATTTCTGCATTATTTAATAAAATATTCCCATTGCAATAACAATCCATTGCAATTTCATGATGAAATACAAGCCAAAGATAACAAGTGGATGACAGCCAAATGTTTGTTTATGCACATGTACACACACACACACCCTCACTCACCCACTTGCATTTTATCAAACGAAAGGAATACAAACAGTGTTGTTAAGCGTAATAAAGCAATGTCATATCAAATTTGCAACGGAAATAAAGCAACATTTAATTGCGATGGAGTTTTGTGAAGCTAATTGGAAGCTTAGTTGGAAGAGACTTCTTATTCTACAATTATGTGTAATACACATTATTTTAACAGCAATAACAAAAGAATTGTTATTTTCATTGAAGAGAGTATAAACGGAAAGAGAATTGCCATCAATTTTGGCGGGATTCTTTTAAAGTGTCAAATGGCAAGATTATCAACAAAATTCACTGATCGGCAATGACTTTATTTTTAATTGTAATCAATATTATAATTAAAGAAAGTGGGTCAATGCTAATAATATTAGTATTTAATAAATATGGATACTGTATTATAATACTCAATTTCAAACCGAGTAGTTATAATGAACACTTGACGTTCCACTATACTAGCAATTCATACACGAGTGCCTTCACCACAATTGACTACGTGCAGAGTGGGGAAAAAACAACTCTAAAAATTAAGTAGATTTTTTGCTATAAAATTGTCTATTCTTTAAACATGTTCTTGTTTCCGATTATAGCCTAAAATTGCTTACAATAATTCCACAATTTAACGGCAGTGTGTACCACAATTCAGAGATGATCCAAACTATCTAGCGTAGTAAAACCCCGGACGTGAAGTAGATTGATAAAATTTTACTCAAATGTATATTATGTCTGCAGGAATTTTGGTATTGAAAATGGGACATGTAGTTCCACGTTTTGGTATAGCCCCCATATAACTGTACCTCCCGCTATTCGGAATTTTAATGATTTTAGCGACATTATTCACCGGAATTGTTTCAAATTTTTTATTTGAAGTTCAAAATGGATACTACAGTCTATGGCAGAAAATTGTCTGTGCAGGTCCACGTCTTCGTATAGCCCCCATATAACTGTACCTCCCGATATTCGGAATTTTAATGATTTTAGCGACATTATTCACCGGAATTGTTTCAAATTTGGTATTTGAAGTTCGAAATGGATACTACAGCCTAAGACAGAAAATTGTCTGTGCAGGTCTACGTCTTCGTATAGCCCCCATATAACGGTACCTCAAGATATTCCAATTTTTTTTTAAGTTTCGCATTTGAATATTGTAATGGCTTATGAAAAAAGTTACCTATGCAGGTACATGTCGTCGTATAGGATTTTAATAGAATTTTTAAAGGAATTTATTGTTTTTGAGAAATGTCAAATTCGTTCCAAATGGTGGAGGGTATTCAAAGTACGGCCGAACTTACAGCTTTTTTACTTGTTTTTTTTTTTTCTTATCATTATCTTTATCTAGAATTTCTCCAAAATATTTTAATTGAAAACTAATCAGTTTTGCTTTATATATTACGTATATTTTTATTTGGCTTTTCTAAATTATTGTTACAGAGTTGAAAATTTAGTTATTATTGGTATTTGTTTTAATGTAAAAAAAAAATCAAGAAAAATATTAAATATACTATAGTCACTTTGTGTGTCCTTATTGCCTTGGCAAACTTTAGAGTGTTGTTGTTTTTTTTTTTAATATTTTGTTGTTTTCTTATTATTGTATTGAGTTGAACAAGGTCTAGTTATTTTTATATGTCTATGTGTTATAAATTAAATACATTTGCTTCAAGAAATAGCGTGATGTTTTTTCTTAAAATATTTTTTTTTTAATTTTATTCAGTTTGAGAAATCCTGATGTATTTTATTTGTTATGAGTTTTTGTATTTTAAAATATATATTTAATTATATACAATTATAAAAAAATGATGTTGAATGTATTATTTATGCTTGTTTTACAGCAAACTAGCTGGAAAAGAATACATTTTTATGTAATTTGAAATGTATATAAATATATCTTTATGTATATATTATAATAAAATTTAGTTTTGTTGTTAAGCTAACTATAATACAATAATGTTTTTAACAAAATATAAATTTATCTTTTTTATTTCTTTTTATAGTTATCATTTATTCTAATTTTAGAAAAAAAAAGGTTTGTCACTACCGTTATATTTTGTATATATGTATAAACGTCTTTTATCAGTTTACAAATGTTTTTAGTAATTTTCTTTTTTTTAAGAAGTTTTTAAGAGATATAAATAATGGATATGATTATATGTAGATCATAAAAATAATTAGATATTCTTTAGAATTTGGAAGTAATGGACAAATTTGTATGTGTGAAAAAAATATCAAAATGAGTGGTGCTTTTGAAAAGCATAGAGAATTATAAAATAAGAAAAAATGTATGAAAGGTCATGGAATAGTTTATGGTGGCGCAATGACTTCTTTTAGATTACACAAAATTGAATTTATTTAATAGGTCACCCAAAAATTGAAACAATCCCTGATGATGGCTAACGAAAAAAGTCGCAATATCGGAACGTTAAAAAAAATTGGAAACAATTTAACTTTTTAATAACTTCAAACCAAACAAATACAAAAAAGAGAGTTATCAAAGAAATAATCGGAGAACTAATCCGAGAGCCTGATTTTACAAATTATAAATATAATGAAAAAAAAAACAATTTAAAAATGAAACCAATTTTGTTAAATCCCAAAATGTTCTATACACCTATTTAATGAACATGAAATGAAAAGATATATCATCATGTTTTTTTTTTAATAAAAAAAATCTAAAAACTTAATACAATTGTTTAAACACAACACATATTTAGCAAAACTATAGACTTGGCTATACTAAAATCTGCATAGCTGTTTAATAAATTTGTTACAGTTTGCCGTTTGTCAGTGTGAACAGTTGTTGTGGTAGTGCTAAAAACTGTGTCTTTAGAATTGGTGATATGGAGTAAACTGTGATGGTGGTCATATTAACAAGCTGTTGGTGGGTTTAACCTATAATCCAAAGGAGGAGGGGAAAAGGGACAAACACACACACACAGAAACACATAAAAGAAAGAAAATAAAAAAATATATATAATTATTTTGTTCCTAAACAAAATACGCTAGATAAAAACAATTGAATATAAATATTAAATATGAAAATAAAAATTAAAAGAGAAAATTAAAAGTTTCAAATAATATCTTACGCATCCGTGCTAGCATTTGGTCCAGGATCTTCAAATAACACTTCAGATCTTGTGCTGATAATATAAATTAGACAAAACGAAATGAAAAACACCACAATGCCGGTGGTTAAGGTGATAATTTCATGGGTGCGGGACGGACGTAAGAATAGGCGAGAGCTCAACGAACTCCATGTTGACTCAGACCAAGTTGAATATTCACCAGAGCTCCAGTTGTAGTCTAGAAGGAAGAAGAAAAATTGATAATTACTTTTTACATTGAGAAAGTCGGATTTTTATGAATATTTTATCAACGGCCATGTGAGCTATCGTATTACTTTTAAGAGTTTTTTTAACACTACCACTGAGCTATAAACGTAGATCTATTAAGAATATAAGTAAGAATATGTTTTCAAAGACCTTCACTATAAACGTGGAGTTTTAAAGGATCTTTTTTGAAGAGAATCTGTTCAATAAACATTAAAGAATATTTTTCCAAAGACCATAAGGTCTATAAACGTGGATTTTTAAGGAATATTCATTAAATTATCTTCAGGCAAATAAACGTTGATTTCTAAAGAATATTTTTTCAAAGATCATCAGGTCTTTAAACTCGGATTTTTAAAGAATATTTTTTTTCAAAGATCATCAGGTCTTTAAACCTGGATTTTTAAAGAATATTTTTCAAGGATCATCAGGTCTTTAAACTTGGATTCTTAAAGAATATTTTTTCGAACGCCGTCATGTCCATAAACGTGGATTTTTGAAATATTTTTTCAAAAATTATCAGGTCTTTAAACGTGGATTTTTAAAGAATTTTTTTTTCAAAGATCATCAGGTCTTTAAACTGGGATTTTTAAAGAATATTTTTTCAAAAATCATCAGGTCTTTAAACGTGAATTTTTAAAGAATTTTTTTAAAGATCATCAGGTCTTTAAACTTGGATTTTTAAAGAATATTTTTTCAAAAATCATCAGGTCTTTAAACGAGGATTTTTAAAGAATTTTTTTAAAGATCATCAGGTCTTTAAAATTGGATTTTTATAGAATATTTTTTCAAAGATCATCAGGTCTTTAACTCGGATTTTTAAAGAATATTTTTTCAAAAATCATCAGGTCTTTAAACTTGGATTTTTAAAGAATATTTTCAAGGATCATCAGGCCTTTAAATATTTTTAAAGAATATTCTTTCAAAGATCATCAGGTCTTTAAACCTGCATTTTTAAAGAATCTTTTTTCAAAGACCATCAGGTCCATAGACGTGGATTCTTAAAGAATATTTTTTCATAGACCATCATGTCCCTAATCCTGGATTTTTAAAGAATAGTTTTCAAAGATGATTAAGCTGGCTCTAACCAAAGATCCTCTAAAGTGAGTGGGGTAGGTTTGCGGGTCTGTGTCATACGACTGGCAGACATTTCATACATCTTCATCAAATCGTGAACAATATGAATTGAGACGACAGCACCATCCTAAACGTAATTGTGCCAAAATTACCATGGTTTGTCTAGGCAGACGATGTTCTAGGTTGCATCAGTATGAATACCTGTGGCTGCATCAGTATGAACGCCTGATAGGCTTCCCTATCAAGAGGCTCTATCTTATAGCATTGGACCTTCCTGTCTAGATCGTGTGTGTTCTCTGAGACACGCCATTTTGGGGGAGTTTTTTTCACCATATGATGGTTTAGATGACATTCAAATGTTACCCTAGGATCTGAAAATGGCTTAAACCAACAGATCTCAAGAGAGCCTTCTATTTATGGAAGACCCATAGTTAGAAAAATTAGATACCTGTAGAAGACTTAATGATTTATGATGATTTAATGAAGAGTAATGATAACTTAAAACTTGTGATAACATAATTCGATATAATGTGATTTTATCAAGTTTTTTTTGGCCTGATGTCTTTGAATTAATGTAAAGTTGATTGTAAATAAAAAATATATCAATATAACCCTAATCTCTCTATCTCTCTCAAAAGAAAGGAGCTATAAGGAGTTCTACCTAAAAAAGTGTATTTAGAAGCTATTCTAATTTAAGACTTTTACTTATACATTCTATATAAAGCAGTAATTTAAGACTGCTACACAAACAAGACCTTACTTCAATAAAAGATAGAATTTGGCTTCCCAAAATGCAAAAAATGAAGCAATACTTTTATGACAGTAAATACGTCCATAATACTATTTATTTACACCACCGACTCTTTAAAAGGCATTATTTAAATTAAATATAGAATCCTGCTTGCAAAAATCCAAAAAAATGAGCAATACTTTGACAAAAAAAAAAAAAAACGTGTCCACGGGACACAACAGTACTAATGTTTTCCTCAACAGTCTCGACATGTATTTTCATAAAATACTTACCACAAATTGTTTGGTGTAATCATTACTTACTTTCTATGATAAATGCAGGACTTAAGGCTAGAGAAAAGTTTTGTGTGGTTATACCACATTCTCCCTGTTTGTTATAGCCAGCAAACCAATATTTTGGCAATTGTGTGCAATTCTCCTGGCTGGCATTGGGTATTTTTTGGGACAACAAATAGCCCATGATGCGATAAGTCCAAATGGTGGCCTCCTGGCTATCTCTATTTACACTTATGTAGCTGAAAATATAGAATTTTGTGGCTTGTTTGTTCGGGATACCGTAGTATTTTGTTTTTGCAAAATGGTCTGGCTTTATCCCTTTATTGTTGTTTTTATAAAAACAACGTTTGTTTATTAGTGGAGAACGATGGTAATGTTTACCAGGGGGTAAGGCAGGGAATACCTAGGTTTCGGAAAGAGCCACCAATCCTCATCAGTTCCCTTGTTTTTGCCTGGGATATTCTCCCCAGAAGTTATTTTAAAAATAACTTCTATGACAAAAAACATTTTTTACCCAAGTGACGAGATCGTAAGCTCAATAGAAGAGGAACCAAAGAATTAAATAAAACTAAAATTCTCTTGGAAAGTCTTCTAAATCTTACAACCGCACTTATAAACATTTACATCAAGTGGAGAATGATGTAAATGTTTATAAGTGCGGTTGTAAGATTTAGAAGACTTTCCAAGAGAATTTTAGTTTTATTTAATTCTTTGGTTCCTCTTCTATTGAGCTTACGATCTCGTCACTTGGGTAAAAAATGTTTTTTGTCATAGAAGTTATTTTTAAAATAACTTCTGGGGAGAATATCCCAGGCAAAAACAAGGGAACTGATGAGGATTGGTGGCTCTTTCCGAAACCTAGGTATTCCCTGCCTTACCCCCTGGTAAACATTACCATCGTTCTCCACTAATAAACAAACGTTGTTTTTATAAAAACAACAATAAAGGGATAAAGCCAGACCATTTTGCAAAAACAATATAGAATTTTGATTTGATTGAAATCCTTTATTCAAAAATAAAAATGTTTTAATACTCACCGATTTGGTGCAATCAAAGGCAACTTTGTAAAACTATTTGGCTTTGAGGCGGCATAAAAGAGGGGACAATTTTGTGATTTTATAAAACAGTATAGGATTTCATCAATCAACACCGGGCTGGGTAGCTCTTCGCCAATGTATTCCTTGCCCGCCAACATTTCGTACAAAGACATTGCAATGACCGCGGAGACATTGCGAATTTTCATTTGCACATCTTCGTGGTGGAAATATTTCAAAGCATCATTTTGTCCCATCAACTTCGTGTAGTCCAATGATGAATTTGTATAATTATATTTTAAATTCGCCCCATCATCATAGACGGAATGATAGAAACGATTTTTCGGCGGGCCATTCAGAATTGCAGCAGGAAATGAGAGATTTTTCCTTAGGAAAGATTGTGCCGATGTTGGTGGCATTTGATAGCCCACTGAACTTTGGAAATTGATATTGAAATCATATTTCGGGGTATTGCCATATTTCTGCAGTTTCGTCAACAATGTTTTGGCCTGGGGGAATTCGGAGAGGGTGTGCAATTTAATATTTGTGATATCATCGAATGTACCCAAATCTAAAATAAATTCAATATTATCAAATGTAATGGGGGCCGTATGTGTTGACGGTTTGGGGAAATATAAATTTTCCAAATCATAGACGAATCTTTGCGAGCCAATATAGTCATAGGATTCACCATTGAATATCATAAAGAGAATATTCAATTTGGAATTTTGTAATTGTTTTTTGTCGCTCAGCAGACGTGATAGGGTGTGGGCCACACTGACGAGAATTGTATAGCCGGTTAGGGAGTCCATTGCACCAACACCTGGAAGAAATTGAAAATGAGTACTTATGATATTAAAATAATTGTCCATATAATTGAAAGTTTATAAAAATCCATATTAAAATAATTTTGAATAAATTTTAAATTTTCAAAAAAAAAATCCTTTTTAACATAGATAATACGTTTGTCCGGTTGTCCTAAAAGGAGAGCAGTTGGAGATAGAAATTTTACACTCTTTTACTAAGAGTTTGCATATTCTAGTTCTCTCTTTTTTTCTTCTTCTTCTCAATTCGATGAGATAAAAAAAACTACAAACAAAGTCAAACGCCATAATTTTTACATTTTTAATTTTTTTTTTTTTGTTTTTGAATGAAAGCAAAAAATGTCGGAAATAGCATCAAGTTTTAGAATAAGTTTAGATTTGTTCGAATTGGTCACCTTTGGCAGGAATTATGACCTTCAAACACGCAACAAAACCACACGCTTCCCGAATGTTGCTCTGCGGTATTTTGGCAAATTCCCGGCGAAGCGCTTGATTGAAGTGATTTTGGTATTTTTTAGTGCCAACCTTGCTTTCCTAAATACTCCAGACACAATAGTCCAACGGATTGGTATCCGGAGATTTTGGTGGCCATTGTGTGCTTAAAATGAAGCGAGAACCTCATTCTTGGGTGGCGCGTGCTGAGTGCGATGGTGCTGAGACCTGTTGGAATGTCCAAAGTCTACGGCCAAAATGTTTGCGTACCCAAGACTTTAATCCACCCTCCAGAATATTTTCGCGATAATATTTAGCATATATTCTGATGCCACGGTCGATTAATACGAGTGGGGAGCGATCATCGGCTGTTATGGCGGCCCACACCATCACCATGGCCGGCGCTTGAGTTATGGTGCCCAACCGAAGGTGCACATTTTCAGCTGACCTCTTTGGCAAGTAAACACGATAATTTTGTTTGTTTACAAACTGCTGGACAACGAATTTTTTCTCATCGGAGAAAACCAAACTTGGCAGTTCACCACTTTCGGCCAAGCGAAGCTACTCTTTAGCTCTTTTAGGTCTATTTTCTTTCTGATGCGGTGTAAGTTCTTGCCCTTTTTGGAATTTCAGTGGCTTTACCCCGGGCTCATTTTTCAATATTTGTGGAATGGAATATTGAGATATGTTCAGCTCTCGAGCCATTTTTCGGCCACTGCGACGCGGGTTTCGATCAAGTCGCTTCTTTACTTTTCGAACCATTTCTGCTGATGTTGCTGTTTTCTTCAGTCCACTTCCTTGACGTCGGGTTACGCTACCAGTATCACGGTAACGAGATTTATTCACATACAAATTCTGGAGTGCGCTAACGATAGCCACTTGTGGATTTCCAGCCAAATATGAATTTTTTTTTTTTTTTTTTTTTGAAAAATTCTCATCAAAACGCTTTTGTACGCTTGTAAACAATATACCTAATGCTAGGAAATGTTGGCTTCAAAACATTTCAAAATCTTATATAGATTGAAAAAGTTTCCAGTTCGATTCGTTATATCTCTACAACATATTTAAAATTTTTTAATATTCAAATATCGCGCAATAAACGAATATTCAAAAAAAAAAAACTGTAATTTTTTCCCATACATTTGCATTTTTTGGAAATGAAATGAAAACCACCCAAATTTTAAACCAAAAAGTTCTCACGATCAAATGGCAACAAAGAAGATGAAACGATAAAAATGACACCCCATTTAAGATAACAGCACCAAATTTCAGCTCAAATACTCACCAAAACTCACTCATTTTAAAATTTAAAAAAAACATGAGAAGATAATAGAACTACCACCCGATATATGCTTTGATCCTCTTTAGCCAAATAATTTGTGTGTAATTATGCATCATTTACAAAACTGCTCTCTCTCTCTCTCTTTCTTTCGAGTTGGTCGATCTAAAACACATTTCCCCTATCAGCAAATGGGCAACTTGTAACTGCATCATAACATTTAGTTCCGTTTTATTGTTTCTTTTTTTTAGTTTTTGCGGCAGGTGTGTGTGTCCTGTGTGGGTAGCAGCAACTCCAGCCAGTGTCATTACCTGTCAGCCAGCCAATACTCATTGTGTGTGCGTGTGTTTCCACCATATGGCAAATTGTTGCAGTTATATTTTCATGTTTGAAATCGAACATTTGAATGAAGCATTTTCACAGTGCATTTAGGGGTGTCATTCATTTGAGATGATATACGATGGGAATTTTGTTTAGGTTGGTTGCATCATGGATCGGTGTAGAGTCATTTGGTCAACATATGGTGACACAATAGAGTGTGAGGTAATAATTGGCAGTAGCGCACCGAAAAAAAAAATAAATTTATGAAAATAGAAGAAAAAACATTTTCAGTTTCGGCTTTGTCAAACTTCTAACAAACTCAAGCATACAAAAACTTAGACTATTGTGAGGGTCAGTAGACCTATTATGTAACTTAATAAGATTGTCTGATTGCGACTATATGGTTAATATATCAAAACCAGTATTCTGTAACTTTCACAGGAGATTTATCCCATTACAAACTCAACAATTCCGAATACAAAATAATGTAATAATAATGTCTACATAGGCCATGTTCCGATAAAGGAACTGCACCTTCCTACTATACACGGTCTGACATGAGTATTTCGGGGAGTTGGTATAGGGTATAAAAAAGTTTCAGATGTCTAAAAGTCTTTAAATTTTGGGACTTTAGCCATAAGTCAATTCAAACAAAAATAATGAATTGGCGACACATTCAGGTAAAAAATATGGTTGGAACTTTCAAAATATCCGTTTGGTGTGGGATATCCAAAAAGCTATACAAAGGCCTTAAAAAGTTTGGCCTGAGAACCCGAAACTCTTTTGAGATTTTGATGTACAAACTCAGTACACCCAAATCCACTTAGAATTTTTCATTACCAGACTGTCTACTGGAGAGGGAAATTATAAGAAATCTTGCAAAGAATTCGGAAAAATGTCGAAAATAAAACTGACAAATTTTGTATTACTTTCAAGAATCAACTCCCCCTTCTAATACCTCACCCACAAACGATCACAATTTTCAATACTTTTATCTGTCATAACTTGCGAAATAAGTCAGCGATTCTTTCTATATCTATAAATGTCTCTCAACCAGAAACCTGAGATGAATATGGAATTTATGATTTCCCATAAAACTGGATATAAATGTTAGATTTTCTTTTTTTAATTTTGCGTATACCAATATTTATATCGGTATTTTACAGGGTGAGATAAAAATACTGCAACAAAGTCAAACCCCATAATTTTTACATTTTTTTTAATTTTATTGAATGACAGCAAAAAATGTCGGAAATAGCATCAAATTTCAGAACAAGTTTAGATTTGTTCACCTTTGGCACGAAATATGGCCTTAAAACGGTCAATGGAACCGTCACACGCTGCCCGAATGTTGCTCTGCGGTATTTTGGCTCATTTCCGGCGAAGCGCTTGCTTGAGGTGATCGACACTTTTGTATTTTTTAGTGCCAACCTTGCTTTCCAAAATATTCCAGACACAATAGTCCAACGGATTTGTATCCGGAGATTTTGGTGGCCATTGTGCGCTGGAAATGAAGCGAGGAACATAATTTTTTAACCATTCTTGGGTGGCGCGTGCTGAGTGCAATGGTGCTGAGTCCTATTGGAATGTCCAAGGTCCGCGGCCAAAATGTTTGCGCGCCCAAGGCTTTAATACACCCTCCAGAATATTTTCCCGATAATATTTGGCATTTATTCTGATGACACGGTCGATTAATACGAGCGGAGAGCGGCCATCGGCTGTTATGGCGGCCCACACAATCACCATGGCCGGCGCTTAAGTTCTGGTGGCCAACTGAAGATGCACATTTTCAGCTGACCTCTTTGGCAAGTAAGCACGATCATTTTGTTTGTTTACAAACTGCTGGACAACGAATGTTTTCTCATCGGAGAAAACCAAAACCAAATTCGGCAGGTCACCACTTTCGGCCAAGCGAAGCAACTCTTTAGCTCTTGCCGAATGTTCAGCTCACGAGCCATTTTTCGGCCACTTTTCTTCTTTTCTTTTCTCACCATTTCTGCTGATGTTGCTGTTTTCTTCCGTCCACTTCCTTGACGTCGGGCTACGCTACCAGTATCACGGTAACGAGCGATTGTACGAGGCACAAATATTTATTCACATTTGAATGCTGGAGTGCTCTAACGAGAACCACTAGTGGTTTTTCAGCCAAATATAAAGAAATCACACTCTCACGCTTGAATTCTATAACGAATAACTTTTTTCTGGAAAATTTTCACGCTTGTAAACAATATAATAAGCTGTCACTGGAATAATTTTAACAGCTGTCGGTAGAGTGGCTTGAAAATGACAGCAGTACGAAGTTGGTTGCCGTTTTTTCACCTCACCCTGTATGTACTTCCTCTTTATAATCTACGCTAATCTCATTTCCAATTTAAAGAAACTCCAAAAAATTGCATAGTATTGCTAATTGTTTTTTTTTATTACTATTATTAAACTGCAATATGAAAATTTCATACATTGTGTTTTTTCTATTAATACAATTAAAAGTTGCTTATAAAATATTCGACTAGAATAAGTTTCCATTTTGTGAATTTTTGGTTGGTTATATGAAATTCATGTTTATCTTAAACTATATTTGTAATAATATTGAGCGCATTATAAATTTGAGTATTTTGGTTGTTTCGTTTTGTTATCTAAAATAACATGAATATATGTTATTGTGAGCAAAATACAAATATTGAAGGCACTTTAAATTTGTTACGATTTTGAGTAATAGTAGTAATTATAATTGTATTGCACTTTAAGGCCACCAATAATAGATTTTGTAGAAATATGGTTGGGATCGAATTATTTTTTTTTCGATTGTTGTATTTTATATCAAAATAAATAAATAGCTTAAAAATTACAAAACAAAATGAAATTATCATATTTGATGATTTAAGTTGCCAATATTTTATTATATTTTTAATTGAAAATCCCTTCGAATTTTTTATATGATGATCACTCTTATTTTTTTTCAACCATAAT